ATATAGGTGTAATGGGCGGGCCCAACGGGCCGAGCGTACGACTACTTACGCCATCCATAGCCAAAAAGGCAGTAACAAGACTTCAAGCTTCTTGAAGTCCAGGTAGTCGTATAGATATACTCGATCACACACACACTTTAGGCGTAGCCTCTTACAATAGGTAATTAGTCTAAGATTAAAATAGTGTATTAAGAACTATATAACTTTACTTAATAGAACCTTAATAATGCAAAGCTAGCGAGTATGTTACTAAAATAAGTAGTAGAGCTAAGGAAGATAGTAGCTAATATAGGTATTAGACTAAACGACCTTATATATAACCCTAAGAAGATAGTCCTAAACTGTTAAACTTGTAATAAGGATAGAAGCCTAAATTAACACTATAACTTCTAGATAGAGATCACTAATAACTTCTTAACTATAGGCAATATTACTCTACTACGTATAGTAGAGAATGTTAGTAATAAGGAACTCTAGAGCTAAGGCATAAAGCGTCACCTAAAGTGGCGCTTAATTATTCTACACGAAGCCTAAATCCGCATTAGCCCTAAACCTTCTTAGCCACTTGCTAGATTACTAAGTGCACCTTAGACACTATCTTAGTAGACTACTTTAGCAATATTAGAGATAGAGACTATCTACGCTAGTACCCTAGTAGCATAGAAGGTAGGTGCCCTTACTAAGAAGGCCTAAGAACTACACTATAGTTCTATAGGAACTACTTTCCTTAATCCACCTCTACTATAGAGCACACGTATAAGGACACGCAACTACCTATTAAACTAAGCAGCTACTAAGCAAATTAACTAAACACTAGATAATACTATAATTAACAATAACACTAAAATTAATAATGCTTTCTAAGAGGTAGTTAAGAAAGACTATTAATGTGCTAATAAAAGCTCTCTCTTTCTTACTATTGTGCGCTAACCTATAGATTAACACAAACCTCTAATAAACCCAGAGAGAGTTATCCTCTGTAATGCGTGGTACCAAGAATGCTGCGCTTAAGGAGGGAAGGTCCAGACAGTCCGCATATGCTACACCCACACTGTCGCTGCTACTAGGGGCATAGGCCTTATCACTAATAACCTTAACTAAGATCTAATAGTCTAGGCCCTCTTAGCTCTCTACATACTTAAGCCGCAATAGGGAAAAATTAAGTTAGATCCTCTCATAGGTAGTCTCTTCTTTAAGCACTACTACTAATACTAACAAGACAATAACCTAGCTAGCTACTACTACTGTCCTAAGCCCTGCGCATGTTTTAACAAGCTAGACTAAGAGAAAATTAGCAAAATAATAGGATAGAACTCACTCTATAGGTAATATAAGAAGAAAGGTTATATTGTAGTAAAGAGCTTCACATAGCTATAAGAGGAAGGTATTAGGCTATTAATTAATAAGAGCTTTGTAATGTACAACTACCACTAACGCTACATCTAAGAACAAGAGAACTTAGGATAGTCTTGTGTAATATACTACTCGCTAGTCTAATAGATTATCTGCGCTAATATTAAGTACTAGCTCTTTTATATAGTACTACGCTAGAAGCACACTCTAGTCTTATACCTATACGACACTAAGTTCGCAAAGCCTAGTGACAAGACGGCATTTACTTATATTAACTTAAACCTAACCTAGGCTATATAGGAGGATTTAGGAGTAGACATAATCTAAGGAAGCGTCTTAGTAGACAATAAAGATAATAAAAACTATACCTTAGTAATAGAAGGCTTCTATAAGTATATTTAAGAGTATATAGAGTAGAAAAAGGATAGAGGTATAAAGAAAGCTAGCATAGAAATCTAAGGTTAGAAAGATGTAGTTAACTAGCCTAGAGAGCTTAGGAAATAGTTTCCTAAAGTACAATAGAGACGCACACCTTATAAGAAAGAAGAAGCCTATATTACTAACCCCCTACTCCCACATAGCTCTATAGGGCTAGCTACTAAGAACTATTGTACAATTCTGCCTTAGTATATTACTATGCGCAATAGTGTGATAGAGGTACTAGCTATAGGAACCTATAAAGATATCTTTAAAGCTTATTTGACGCTTATAGCACCCCTAAGCTCTCTATCCAGCTACCTAAATAAGTATAGTAGAATTAATTAGGCTTTTTTAGCTAACGTTAAGTTTAACTTTAATTCTTATATCTAAAAGGCCTTAGTTAGACAAGCTTATTAAAATAATCTATTAGTGTAGAAAGAGTTCTAAGAGAAGATTATAGGTAGAATAGTAGAGTTAATCTAAGACTTTAATCTAGATACTAGAGATGCTATAATTAAATAGCTAAAACGCCTACTACTATTAATTACAAAGCTAGAATAAGATGCTTTTTGTGCTAACCCTATAGAAGGCATACTAGATTAATTGTTCTTTACAAATAATAGAGTATATCTAGATAAGGTAGGAGACTAGATTAAATAGGATAAGGACTTCTCTAAAGCTAACGCGATTGACTGTCTATAGATAGAACTCACGCTAGAACCTAATAAGAACTTAGCTGCGCAGGCTATAGGCCTCCTAATGTCTTAGTCTAGAAGGTTGTCCTTCTTAACTTATAATTTGCCTCCTAGCACACTAGCTTAGCGCTATTATAGCTCTAGTGTTAGTTCTAGTTTATTGTTACTACTATAATCGCTTTACTCTCCCTCTCTATTGCGCTAAGTCACTAGTCTAAGTGTGCAACTAAGGCGTAGTGGTTGACTAAGGAAAGGGGCATAGAAGTAAGGCACAGACGCTAGGTTAGGAGCGGAGAACCTAGCATCTGCATAGAAGCTATAGGGAAGACAAGATGGCTAGACGTAAGGGATAGGACAGATAGGGGTAGTGAACAAATTGCAACTAGGAAGGAACTAGAGGGTACTTTAGAGAGGGGTATTTAGTGTGTAGTAGAGGTAAGCTTAATAGGGCCAAGCTCTTAGGTTTAAAAGGTTTGTGCTAAGGCATAAGGTCACTATAACCTTTGTGCTAACTAAGCACTACTTACCTTTAAGAAGGAACATAAATTAATAGTTAAGTCTAGAGGAAAAATTAACTAACAATATCTCTTAGAAAAATCTCTTGCTTGAAGAACCAACTACATATATTTTACTCCCTCTCCCCTCTCCCATAGCCTATGGGAAGGGGAAGAACCTTTAGTTCTGTTCCCTCTACTGAGAATACATCGCAGTTCCACACAACACCTCTACAATACGTATCGCTGCTTGCAGCTCTTATGCTTATTTGCTATGTCTAAAGCCTCTTAAAGAGTAGCTACTTCCTTTCTTATAAGCGTTATCTTATATGATATTTACTAAGCCTCTTTACTTAGCTATATAACCTTCTTATTAAAAGAATTTATAAAAGACCTAAGGCGGTTTCTTACTCTCTATTAAATAAAAGTACTTTAAGCCTTAACCTTACGCGCATTGCGTAGTGTCTACGCCTGCTAGGTAGCTGTCCGTCGTAGTGATTGTATAGGTGTCTGCACTACTATATCAAGCTTAGATAGCATAGCCTATAGGTTGTATAGGACTAGACTAGCGCCTCTAAAGCTAGCTTAGATATTCTCCTTTGTAATAGACTGCTTAAAAGTAGTCTTAAAGGCTAGTAGGAAGGTCTCTTTGCTAATATAGTAGGTGTATTTACGTGCTAAGCCTAAAACAGTGTTGCTATACTTACGCTTTAACAGCGAGAAGTAGGCAACGTCAAGAGGCTATAATAGGTGAGACAAGTGCGTAGGCATGTAGAGAAGCATAATATTCTTCTCCTTACAAAGATCTTAGAAATTAATAGAGTAGTAGCTTTTATAGCTATTAATAATAAGTAGTTAATACCTACCTATAGTAGAGCTCTTTATATAGGTATTAAAGTGCTCTAACTAGGCAAGACTAAGCTAATTATTTATTTAGCTATTAGAACTAACTTTAAGAACTTAGTTAGCAGGCAAATTCTGAAACTAGATATTAATAAGCACCTTACCTACAAAGACAACAAAGGGTAGTATTTAGCAACCTAACGCGCCCACGCCTTAGATTATAGTAACCTACTTATAGTTGCCTAGCTATATCTGCTTTTTTTTCTATATCCTTCTAATACTATAATTAATAACTATAATAAAATCTTGCTTATTATAAAGCTAGTTTTGTTAAAGTTATAAATATTATTATCTATAACTAATACTCTACTTCTACCTTATCGCCTAGACTAAGTTAAACTAGCGCTAGATAGCTACTAGGTCCTTATAGGCGGCTTGCTAGTAATTATAAGAATAGCTCTAGCGCGTATAGAGCTTAGCAGTCTACCTAATAAAGTTATTAACCTAATTCTTACTAATACGGTTGCTACTACGCTTCTTTAATAGTTTATTAGCTATTGCTTAAACCTTAGCCTTTATAGGGGTAAATCTACACGCAGACTCTTTAAAAATACGTCTAATAAAAGCCTTCTCTTCTAACTTATTTAGGCGCTTTAAATTTAGTTTATAGTTACGTTAAAGGCGCTTTCTAGCCTATTATTTAGATATTATACTTTAAGGCACGTTATAGATAGAGGTAGCGCGTCTTTAGCTTTAAATACGTTATAATTAGATATTAAAAAAAGTAAGTTAAAGATCTAATTTAGAATAAGTTAATTAATAGTTATATTATTAAGACATAACGCGTTGTAGTATCAACGTCGACGCGCTGGTGGGGAGTGACCAACTCGCTTAGGTGACCGACTCGCTTATGAACCACGTTATTCTTTGTTGTTTGTTTGTTCTGTTTTGAATTTCTAGGATTTAAATATGCCGTGGGAGAGGACTGGATTATGTGTTTTTGAATTTTGGAGAGATGGACAATGGGAATTAGTAGTTCTCGTTTGATGGATAATTCATATGTACGGTGTTGTTGGTTTGGAAGATTGTTCATGAGGCGATTTCTGCAACATGATTGTCTATCTCAAAACATCAAGGGAAGGTCATATCATGTAGCAATTGCAAATATCTGTCCAAAATGAACCACCGAATCAATGTCATGTATTCATTGCCTTTGCCCAATTGTGAATAATTATACATTTACAGTGCCGCTGGCGATGCGCTCGCTGATGCAGTCTCAGCGGCCGGTAGTCTCGCAGCCGTCTGCTCCAACGGCTCCTTTCGCCTCGGCCTCCTCAGATCCTCCTCTGTGATGCCGTTCAAGCCGACTTTTGTAAGGCCCATGACGGGCGGATCGCCCTTCTTCACGAATTCATACAAGCCCGGAAGCTTGTTGCCCGCCAGCCTAAACGCATCCCTCACCACCTGCTCGTGCAAATCGCCCTTGATCTCGAAGATGATTTTGCTGACCGCCACCCTCGCAGTCCAGTGGTCAAAGCTACCCTTTCCCTTACCCATACGCACGTCGTTGCCAGAAGTGTACACACCAATGTTGGCCGAAATGCGCATGTACAGCCGGAACTTCATGCCTCGAAGGCGCTTCTTGATCGTCTCCTCGGCAATGCGCAGCTGGTGCGCGGAAATGCGCCGGTCGTGGTCCCGCATGCGAAGGCCGTAGTCGCCCCATACTACGGTTGTGCCGCGCATGCTGCCGCCCGTGGGTACGTGACATCTTCCCTTGCGGGACTTGCGGGATTCTCCAGCCTTGGGCGCAAGGTACGAGAGGCGCGAGGGCGTCGAGGAAAAGGGTCGGATAGCGGGTCTAGCGGTGGGAGCAGCGAACTGGCATCTTGGTAGACATGCCTTTTGCAGCACTGGAGGGGGTTTAGCGTTTGCCTGCAATTGAGGGGATGCAGCGTACCGGTCGGGCGTGGAGCTGAGAGACTCAATTGACTGAACTGAGCCAGCAGGCCCTGCGATATCCTCGGCGGCGGCATCGTGTTGTGGGGTGCTCGACGTCGTCTGCCAGTCGACGGCGTGTCGTTGGACCGTCAAGTTCTGGCGCCAAGCCTGTGGCTGCTGTGGCTTGGGTGGACCAAAGGGATCCCGCGCTGCGTAATTGCCTAGTGACCGCGCGAAGTCGCGTCTCTCACGTCAATTGCGTGTCGCCCACCAAACCACCCAACCCAGCACCTCGACCCCGCCTTTGGTGCAAAATTCGGCCTGCTAACGCGACAATTCAATGTTGGTGTGACCTGAAGTGTCTGCAACGTCAAAACAATGCCTGCCGATATTCGCAGCTTCTTTGGTGGCGGCCCCCCCAAGCCGAGCCAGGGCTCACAAAAGGATGAGCCGGCCCCAAAGAAGGCTGCACCCAAGAAAACAGGCCGCACAAGCAGGGTTGTAGAGGATTCGGATGACGATGAGGAAGAGCCAAAGTAAGTGAGATATCGTACTGATGTCATGTCCACGCTGACAGTGTGTAGGCCCAAGAAGGCAACACCCAAGAAGCCAGCCACGAAGAAAGTCAAGCGCGAACCAACGCCAGAGCCTGACCTCGAGGAAACCACTACATCTGCATTTTTCGGTAGCTCGAATAAGCCTAGACGAACCGAACCTGTGAAAAAGAAGGCCGCCGAGGCACCCAAAGCAACTCCCAAGAAGGCTGCCGCGAAGGCGTCCAAGACGGCTACGCCAGCATCCATTGGCAAGACGTCTGGCCGCGCAAAGAAGCCTGTCACATCATATGCTGAGAGGGATGACGAGGACGAGTTCCCCGATGACGACCTGGACGATGCGGCCGACATTTTCGAGGACAATATCAAAGGAAAGAGCAAGGACGACTACAAGGAGGCTTCCGAGAGCGAGGAGGAACTGCCCGTAAAGCTGCCCCACCGCGGAACGCCAAAGGCTCCTGCCAAGCAACAGAAAACCGTCAAAGAAGACGACGACTTTGATCCTGAAGATAAGGACGTGGATATGAAGGACCTGGACGCTGACGACGATTTTGTCGTGCCCGATGACGAGGAAGAGGCGCTTCAGAGCAAACTAAAGAAGACGTCAACCGCGACCAAGAAACGCAAATCCCCGGACCGAGACCAGGACGAGGAGGAAGAGGAGGAAGATAAACCCAAAAAGGCGCGTGCGAAGAAGGCTACTCCGGCGAAATCACCGGCAAAGAAGAAAGCGAAAAAGGAAGAGGTCGAGGACAGTGCTGATATCCAGGCCATCTACGACAGCATACCGACTGTGCGCGCTCCGACGCCCCCACCCAAAGACCCCAATGCAAAGTTCAATTGGCAGGCGAATGCGAACCGTGGTGATGCTGCACCTTTGCAAGGCTCATCCAGCGACATGCCAAAAGGCTCAGACACTTGCCTTGCTGGGCTGAGTTTCGTTTTTACAGGCGTGCTGCAGAAGTGGGGCCGGACTGAGAGTCAGGAGCTGGTCAAGCGTCACGGCGGCAAAGTGACGACCGCTCCCAGTAAAAAGACCAACTATGTTGTGCTGGGTACAGATGCCGGACCCGTCAAACTGAAAAAGATTCGCGATATGAACATCAAGACGATTGATGAAGATGGCCTGACGCAGCTCATTGAAAAGTTGACGGCAGCTGGTAACAAGGGTGACAGCAAAGCTCAAGCCGAGTATGCAGAAAAGCAGCGCAAAGAGCAGGAGAAGATTGAGAAGCAGGCTGCGGAACTCGAGGAGGAAGAGAAGAAACGCCAACAGGAATTGAAAGCTGCCGCTGCAGCGGCTAGAAACAAATCAGCCTCTGCGGCCGCTTCCTCTTCTCAAAGCGCAGGCCCGGAGGTGGACTCTCGCCTGTGGACTACAAAGTATGCGCCTTCATCACTCGGCCAGATTTGCGGAAATAAGGCGTCGGTCGAGAAGTTGCAACGATGGCTGCAGGCTTTCCCCAAGTGTGTCAAGACTGGCTTCAAGCTTGCTGGCAAAGACGGCAGCGGAGTCTTCCGTGCTGTCATGATTCACGGACCACCTGGCATTGGCAAGACTACTGCAGCCCATCTCGTTGCGAAGCTTGAAGGTTACGACATCGTCGAGAGGAACGCCAGTGATACCCGAAGCAAGAAGCTCATTGAAGAGGGCTTGCGTGGGGTGCTCAGTACCAACTCGCTCAACGGTTACTTTGCTGGAGATGGAAAGAAGGTCGAAGACTCCAAGAAGAAGCTTGTCCTGATCATGGATGAGGTCGATGGCATGTCAGCAGGTGACCGTGGTGGTGTTGGTGCACTGGCAGCTGTGTGCAAGAAGACTGAAGTGCCTATGATTCTCATTTGCAACGACAGGAGACAGCCCAAGATGAAGCCGTTCGATTACGTGACATACGACCTTCCCTTCCGACGCCCTACCGTGGAGCAGATACGATCACGCATCATGACTATTGCATTCCGCGAAGGCCTCAAGATGCCCACACCGGTTGTCAATGCTCTGATAGAAGGTAGCCATTCGGATATCCGTCAAGTCGTCAACATGTTATCCACTGCGAAAACGGATCAAACAGCCATGGACTTTGACAAGGGCAAGGAAATGTCGAAGAATTGGGAGAAGCATGTCGTGTTGAAGCCGTGGGACATTACACAGAAGATTCTCGGTGGCGGCATGTTTGCTTCGAGCAGCAAGGCGACTCTCAACGAAAAGATTGAGCTCTACTTCAATGATCACGAGTTCAGCCCTTTGATGCTCCAGGAAAACTATCTCGGCACCAATCCCATGCAATCGCTCAGCTATTCTGGCAGAGAAAAGAACCTCAAAAATCTTGAGCTCCTTTCGCAGGCAGCGGACAGCATCAGCGATGGCGATCTGGTTGACCGGATGATTCACGGCTCGCAGCAACAGTGGAGCTTGATGCCAACACATGCAGTTTTTAGTTTTGTGCGGCCTGCAAGCTTCGTGGCTGGCAGCACTGCTGGTAACCAGACACGCTTCACCTCGTGGCTGGGCAAGAACAGTACTAGCAACAAGCTCAGTCGAATGATCAAGGAAATCCAGGCGCATATGCGACTGCGGTCTTCTGGGGACCGGCACGAGGTTCGTCAGCAATACATCCCGATACTCTGGACCGAGCTTGTGCAGAAGCTGCAGAAGGAGGGTAAAGAGGCGGTCCCGGAAATCATCGAGTTGATGGACAGCTACTACCTTACCAAGGACGACTTTGACGCCATCATGGAACTGGGTGTCGGCCCCATGGACCAGGAAAAGGTCAAGATCGACACACAGGCCAAGTCTACCTTTACACGACTGTAAGTCAAGGCGCGAACTCTATGCTGGAGTGCACAGCTAATTTTATCCCAGATACAACCAACAGTCACACCCACTTCCGTTCATGAAAGCTTCATCGGTGACGGCGCCGAAGAAACAAGCAAAGGAAAAGCCAGACTTGGAAGAAGCAATCGACGAGTCGGATGAGGGTGAAGTGATTGAAGAAGCCAAGGACGAGGATGATGAGGACATTGATCTGTCAAAGGACAAGTACGTCAAACAGCCCAAGAAGAAGGCTGCGCCCAAGAAAGCAGCTGCAGCGAAGAAAGGGGGGAAGAAGAAGGCCAAGGACGAGGACAGCGAGGATGACGAAGAGGAGGAGGTGGTCAAGCCCAAGGGAAAGGGAAAGGCCAAGGCGAAAGCACCGGCAAAGGGAAAAAAGTAGTCGGGGGCTGTGTATAACAGGGGGGTCTCGGTGGGGGTTCTGCGAGGTCTTATGTTGGTCGCCTATCTTTTGTTTCTCAGATGGGCGTACTTTAGCGGGCGCAGGTGTACGTGGCGTGGTTTGTAGTCACCCGATAATGCAATTCGATATATGGTTATCGTATGGATGCCCGCACACGCTCATGACTAGCTGGCTGTGCCCCGCGAAGGCAGCCTCTTCTCATTCGTCCAGGCGAACGGCACCGGAGACGGATCGACACACTGACACGGCTAGCGACCACACCACCGGCACGCAGTCAAGCAATGCTGGATGATGCCAATCTGGGCCAAGAGGACTTGGTGTTTGCGAGGCTCTCTCTGCATGCATCCACGACGGTGCAACGGGCGTCTGACAGGCTGCGCCACCAGCTCGCGTATGGCTAGGGCGCTTTGCCCCGCTCTTGCCCTGCATCCGTCCTACGTCAACACATCAACGCCCACCCAAGAATTCAAAGTTTTGCCCTGAATCCTTTGCGCCCCAGCATCCGCCTGCGAGCTCCCGGCCGACCGCGCCATCACGATTCTTGTATCCACTGCCTACCCGGTGCTACTTTTGCTCGCCTTCACCATTTTCTGGCTCGGCAGCCGTGCTCCCCCGCACCCGTTGGATTCGGCCATCCCGGAGCGGTTTCTGCTCGCGGCACACGCTACCATTGCACGCCCGGTGGCCAGCTTGTTTCCTCGCTTCTGGAGCATGGAGAGTAACATCTCGGCTGCGCGAGCAGCCCGGCGGTTCCTCGATGATCGCATTCGCAACGACTGGACATATCCGGAGGTGCCGGCGGCATGGTCAGCCTCGGACGAAGAAGTGCGCGATGCCGTCGACTTTCGCGAACGGTACTACGGCGAGTCTGAGTCTGGTGACTCGGACAATGAAGACCAAGGAGCCAGTCCCTACAAATTCGACAGTCCGGAGAGCATCGGGGACACGGTGGCGCACACGCGCGAGGCGCGCAAGAGACGGCGTAGGCAGCGGCTAGAGCAGGAGATGAAGGAAAACGAGGGCCTGCGCATCTGGGTAGAGCAGAGGGACGCGTGGACAGGCGCAGCGAGCGTAAAGAAATATGGTACACACCGGCAGCGACAGGCCGACTGCCCACCGTCTGCAGCAGGCTACTCCTCCGAGGAGCCTGTTATGACGCCTCCGGGTTCCGAATCACATTCCATTGCCAGCGCCACCCCCGACATGGCCGATCTTGTTCCCGTTGCGCCTCGTCTGCTCAATCAAAATCCCATCCGTGCCTCTATCACCCCCAAAGCGTATTCCGACATCTACCAGAAAATTGTCGTCTCGTCGCGCACACCCTCGGTACCCATTAATCTCGCAGATATGACCAAGGCCTTAGTGCAGGGCTGGAAGGACAGCGATGAATGGCCTCCGAGGGTTGCGCCTGTAGACCCACTTGCCGGCAAAAAGCGTACCGTCCCCAGCACAACGTCAAACACACATCATGGGGGCTTTATCGCAAGACACCCTCATCTTGAAAAGGGCGTCGACGGCATGAGGCGAATATTACATCTCAACGGGCATCATGACCATGACAATGAGCACGCTCAAGGGGGAAAGGAGGGCTGAGAATTAGTCATGACCGCATCGGTGTCTGGTGTGCCACGACGCTAACGAGCAACAAACTATTGAGGAAAAATTCCCTTTCCGGCTCACCGTAATGGGCAACGAGTCTTGCTCACGCGAGTGGATGCATATGTTTCACGACCTAGCCATACCTCTTATTGGCGTGGGAAGACGTCACTTCCGTGCGACTTGTTGAGCATTGGCAATCCTACGGCAGGTATCATGCTCTAGACTGGGTCTTCAGCACAAGGCCGCGGATCTCCGTCTGGAGCGGCTGGTCCGGATCAAGATGGAACAGTGGCAGCAGATTATGTTTAATGCGTTCAGTAGTGGGGATCGATGTTTGAGCACCACCAGTATGCACTTGGTGTTTGGTGCAGGAATCTTTGGAATCTCAAGTGTGTTGGGAAACATGGCGGAATCGTGTGTATTACGAAGAAAGAAAAAAAGGTCATGCCATATCCCCTGTTCAACCATATATCATAATCCACGAATGAAAGCAAGGTGGCGACGACGGCAGTGTGCATTTGTGGAGAAAAGCACTTGGCTAGCGCTGGCCTGGTTATCTATCGGGTCCCCAGACAGCGGTGACGATTGGTGACATGGCACGACTTTGGTGCCATGTTGACCAGACAAGACTTAATTGAAGGGATACCACACGTATAACGCAACGGCAGACATGGTGTACGACGACATAGACCTCCCGACATCACCCTTTTAGCCAATACTCACAGCTTGCAAACTGGCAGCCAAGCATGATCGTCCATGACCTTGCCTCAAGCGTTGGCACTTGCACTAGGCACCGCCCGTTCCGCAGGAGCTCCATACCGACGGGTTTCGTTGTGTCGCGCAAAAGCTCGGGCTGTCGGCTGCTGCACCGACGTGAAGGCAATCCTTTTGATAACCCGATTGCGGGGCTGGCCAAGCGCAGCATTGGCCTGGAAGGGGATGGATGTACAGGCAATCTAAGTCGTTTTGTAGCGGTCCATAATTCTTGTTTTTTTGTTTCTTTCGGGCCCGTCGAGAACCGAAAGGCCGACGACGGGAGACAGTCGGTAGCCCTGTTTGTGGCTGCTGTTGAGGCAACGCTGATGATGGATGGATGGATGGATGCTACGACGGACGGCGACGTTTATCCGGGTGTCGTGGGAGATAAATATCCAGAGGTGTTCCTGCTGTGGACTTTTTTTGTTGCAGTGCTCAGTGCGTGCTGAGATACAGACCGTCTCTTGCTCCCCTTTCTTGATACGCGTTTTTCCTGACAACTCTTTCACCATGCCGGGTACCATTCAGACGCAGCAAACTGCTCCTGAGGCGCCACAATGCCGCGGAATCTACCATCTTACCCACCCGCGCTCGGCATCCAATCTCTTTCAAACCATGATGGCCAAGCAGCCTGGCTTCGAGGCCTCAAGCTACAAACTTTTTGAGGCTGGAGTCAGGATCTTCTTTGATGTCGAAAAAGGGCCGTTGAGTACATGGCCCGAGGAGGAGAGGAAGGAATTGCAGGAGAATTTCCAGAAGGCGTTTGACGAGATGCAGGACGAGATGGAAGAAGCCGAGAAGAAGGTAAGTCTACATGTACCTTTCGATACTGCAGGAGATGCGCATGTTGAAAGAGGTGAGGTCGAGATTGTGTGGAGCGATGCATTGTACCCCTGTGGGCTCTGGTGCAATCTCACGTGGGGATTGCGTGCTCAGCCGCCCGCCGCCCGGAACGAGCCGCCTACGTTGACCAACAAAAAAAAAAGAGGAAAAGAAAACCCTCCGCTGACTCGGTGTATTACATTAGGGAAAGCGAGTCCTGTTCAAGGAGCACGCGACGTACATGTGCGCGACGGACAAACTGATGCGCCGCGTCTACGAAGATGACGAGACAGAGCCCATGATCCTGCGGCAGCGCGGCGCCAGTCTCAAGGCCGCCTACACCAACCCGACGTCGCTCCCGGACGATTTTCTGCTGTCGCTGCAGCCCATCTTCCAGATCCGCAACCCGGTGCTCATGTTCCCGTCGCTGGTGCGCGCGCAGACCGACATGAAGATGGGCGGCGCGCGGTCGGCACTGGCCAAGATCGGGCTGACGCTGGAGCCGCAGCGCGCGCTTTACGACTGGTATCTGGAGCGGTCGCGCGACACAAATATCATTCCGCGCGTTATTGATGCTGACGACGTCATGAATGAGCCGGAGACGGTGCGCCGCTTGTGTCTGCAGACGGGGCTTGATCCCGATGCCGTGGTGTATGAGTGGGAGACGCGCCACTATGACAATCCGCTCAAGGCGCGCTTCTTCTCGACTATTGGCAGTAGCAGGGGCATTATCCCGGGGCTGGATGCCAAGGGCAAGAGTGTGCAGACGGAGATGGAGAAGTGGGTCAAGGAGTTTGGACAGGAGGATGCGGATGGACTGGCAAAGCGTGTGCGTGATGCTATGCCCGATTATGAGTATTTGTATAGTCGCAGGACAGTGGCGGAGTAGGAGCTGCGTTGCTGCGGGGAAGCCATCATTTGGAGTGGGATAGGCTCGGTGTGTCTGCTTGCATGGGTTGTGCACTTGATGCTGAAGCTGCTTTGCTTCCAATCCATATACGATACATGTAGTTGTCTCCAGGATAATGGGTGTCAGGTGATTATAACCGTTGCTCAACACCTACTCCATTGCTACGCTAGATTGTAGATGTAGAAAGATAGCTACGCAAGAGGTACTATGGTCACGGAAGCACTTGCTTACTGAGCCATTTTCAGTAACGCAGAATACGTTTCGCCGTGGAGTGTACAAAAGCCGAGTGAAACAGTCACGTGCGATGCTACTCAGATACGTAATAACATCAGGGTTCCGGGCCCTTAAAAACCTTCTAGAACAGAGATCAAGAGCGGGAATCGGCTTGGCAAAGCAATTGGAGACACGGCGGGCTTGGACTTCCCGCGCTTTGCCTTGGGCTTGCGTGTGAGTGTGAGTGGGACTGCATATCCTTTTCGCCGAGGATGCGGGACACACATGGCAGCGGATGCCGGTACTAACGTTGGTGCTAATGCATGGAACAAGGATGCATGTTTGGTGAGGCATTTCTTCTGGCCTGACGTTCATGTAGGTGTAGAAGTGTTGAATGCACGGCACTTGGCGATATCCTGCTTCTACCAGAATGTTGCATGGTGCCGAAACATGCACTTTGCAGCTGGACGTCATTTACATACGTACACCTATATCCCAGCCCTACACCAATAACTCCCTCGGCGCTTGCCCCTCACTTCGTTATCAGAGTACATTCCAAAGCCTTATCAGGCAACATGTGAATAGCGGCTCGATTGGGTTTAAGACTCGTTTTTTTGTTGCATTTGTAAAAGTAATCGTCATACATTTTGTTGTTCCATGATGAGATCATCGACTCCAGGCTCCAAAAGGGAAGTACGTCCGGCTTATCAAGCGGCCAGGGGGTCTCACAAGTTATACTTACATAAGGGCGAAATCTTGTTCAAAAACGATAACAACCAAACCGTGGCGCCAGCCCCCCCCCCTCCCGCAGCGATCCGAACTCGGAAAATAACAAGCAAAACGCGGGCGTGCGAAAGCTAAGACGGGGTCGCTTCCCCCCTTTCTTCAAAGGCCCAACAGCGCGCCTTTGCGCGACTTGTTCAGTTGCACTCTCCACAGTTTGTTCTCATTCAGCAGGAATATCTGGCCGTTCCGGCCAAAGCAGAAGTTGGCCACGCCGCCGTCAATGAGGATTTTGGCCAGCAAAACACCGCCCGGAGACCAGATGTTGAGGCCGTCGCCGCAGCCGCTATACACGTTGCCCTCGGTATCGCACTTGATGCCATCGGGGATGCCCTTGTCGGCCATGGCGAATAGTCGACGGTTGACCAGGAAGGGCTGGCCAGAGTACGTGTTCACGTCGAATGCGTATCTACGGCGGCGCAAAACGTGTTAGCATGGTTGGTCAGGACGGGGTGAGAGCAGCAGACGGGTGAGGAGGTAAGTTGTGGGGCCGATGGCGCAATCTCTCGGCAGTCCGCAAAGGAAAAGGAAGAGTGCAGTACATACATGTGCGATGCTCGCATCTCGTCTGTCGAGCCATCCCCGTGGATCCAGTCGGTGTCGGTAATGTATACAATCTTCTCGTCGGGGCTGAAGCAGATGCCGTTGGGCCTGCCGAATCCATCTGCCATGGCGCGAATGCCACGGGTTGCTGGGTCGAAGCGGTAGACCTGGTTGGGCAGCCGAGGGCGAGGGCGTATGCCTTGCTCCCAGCCGTAGATGGGGTCTGTGAACCATATCGAGCCGTCCGAGTGCACGACGACGTCGTTGGGCGAGTTGAAGGGGCGGCCGTGGAAGGAGGAGACGAGCAGCTCGGCCTCGTAGTTGTTTGTGGTGCAGTCTGGCCTCGACCGCATGAAGACTATGCCTCCGGGCTGGTCGAGGGTGCCCTGGGCACAGAACAGCACGCCGTCTCTGTAGTTTACACCACCGTTGGGCAAGAGGACATTCTTTGCATCAATCTCCCAGTGCTGTGCATCGGTGCTGTGGGGTTCGGACGGCAGCCCGACTCGCGAGATAAGAACGTGGGACTGGCCCGTCACTGGGTGGGCGTACTGGTTACTGGTGATGAAGAGACAGTTGTCCTCGGGTATGAAGACGCCAGCCTCGTGGGCAAAGGGGCGCTCATCATCTTCCAGCAGCAGGTCGAGCTTGGGCTCAGGGCCAAAGATCTCGTGTGCTGCTTCATCGTGAATCTGCATCCACGAGGGCGTGGGAGCCATTACTGCAGACATTGGAGATGCGCTAAATATGTCAGACCAGGCGGTGTCCAATTGGGTTCGGCCGCTCGTTATACATAAGTACCCTGGGCAGGCGAGACTAAGTGGTGATTGTCATAGTGCTTATAACAAGTAAGCCGCCGACTGAAGCAGCCTCCGATCGGTCTTTGAAGTGACATAGGTGTACATACTCTTTGCTGGCACGGCGACTGAAGCACTCGCCGAAAGCCTGATTTTTGAGTCCCGGTCCGACGCGGCTTTTGAACTGGCTGAGCGTCGACAGCTGTGATACGCTACGCTAGGGTGTGCTCGGTGTTTCGGTCCTGTGTCGGCCCAACTCTTGAGTTAAATAAGCAGACCTCACTGCTTGACTGGCTGACACCACCAAAAGGCGGAGCTATATCTCACCGAACCTAAGACGGCGAGTGAGGTGACTGGGCGTGTGCTTTTGGAGCCAGCTGCATCCACGTGAGCATCATGGACTGAAGGCTTCTAGACGATGCCTACACCCCCCCCCTCCCTCCTCTTGGCGTGAGCGATATCCAATCCTTCCACTACCCAAGCACATCGGCCGTTTCCCTGCCCAGAATCGCTCGGCTCGTGGCAAGTGGATTCAACTCCAACTTTATCCTAGCTGTTAAGAACCAAATCCCGCGGGTTATGCATCGCGAGCCGGCCCCATGGGGTTGAAGCCCCGCACAAAGGTAAGCCACAATCAGATTGAGCGTTTGGAAGGCCCGTATGCAAAGCGGAAAAAAAAAGTATATATGACCGACGAAAATGCCCGCAAGGGTGCCCCATTGACATATATTTTCCCACGGTTGGACTGACCGCGTCGACACACACCGCGTCGACACCACAAGTCGCGACCTCTTCACCATGCCGCAACTCAAGGGTCGAGCTCTTTTGCTCACCATCAGTCTTCTCACCTCTCTGGGGTTCATGTTAATTGGTTACGACAATGGTCTCATGGGAGGACTGGTTGGTGCGCCGGCATTCAACAAGACGTTTGACCACCCGTCTTCGGACATGATCGGAACCATTGTGGCCATCTTCGAAAGTGAGTAACTGCAGCGTCAGCGCAACAGCAGCCATAGTAACATGGGAATGCAGTCGGTTGCTTCGTCGGTGCCATGGCTACAGCAGTATTTGGCGAGAAGTTTGGTCGTCGCAAGAGCGTGGCCACGGGCGCTGTCATCAGCATACTCGGCGCGATTCTGCAAGCTACCGCATACGGCCGAGCGCATCTCATTGTCGGCCGGATTGTCTCTGGAGTCGGTCTGGGTATAATCAACTCGACAGTGCCCGTCATGCAAGCCGAGTTCAGCCCCAAGGCAAGCCGTGGCATTTTCGTCTGTGCACAGCTCTCGACTTTGAATTTCGGCATCTTCCTCGTCTACTGGATCGACTACGGCTTCGTGAACCACACTGGCAGCTATGCGTGGCGAATCCCCACCATTCTGCAGTGCATTATCCTCTTCGCCATTCTCTTCCTCTTGCTTCTTATTCCTGAGACGCCCCGATGGCTCGCATCGCATGACCGCCCCGAGGAGTGTTTGAAGGTGTTGGCGCGCGTCGCAGATTTGCCTGAGGATGATGCTGAGATCCAGAGACTGCACACTGTCATCACCGAAACCGTCGCATTTGAGGCATCGCGACAGGCAGGATGGGGGGACATCTTCAAGAGCGACCCTATCAAGTCGCGAAGACGCTTCTTGATTGCTTGCGGTATCCAAATGTTCCAACAACTTGGTGGCATCAACGCAATCATCTGTAAGTGAGATGCCGTGAATCTGGTGATGCTGTGCTGATGGATGCAGACTATTCGGGTACTCTCTTCCAAAAGAGCATTGGATTCAGCACACACATGTCTGCCCTGATGAGCGGCTTCCTTCAGACTTGGTTCTTCGTCGCATCATTCATTCCCTGGTTCCTGATCGACAGGGTCGGCCGAAGGCCCCTCCTGCTTTCTATGATTAGTCTTATGGCTGCTGTCATGGCAGTACAGGCTGCTCTCATCTATCAGGTCCAGTTCAAGACTGCTTCGTCTCACGGCGCGGGTATCGCAGCCGCTGCTATGCTTTTCGTCTTCCAAGGTGCTTTCACCATTGGTTTCCAAGCCACCGTTTGGGTTTACCCGTGAGTGCTCTTCTCAATAATAAACCCCGTACGAGACTAACGCATAGCAGGTCTGAGATTCTTCCTCTCCGTCTGCGCCAGCGCGGTTCGGCTATCTCGACGGCAGCCAACTGGATTTGCAACTACGTAAGTTTGTGCCTTTCTTGTACAACACAACACTTGAGCTAATTTTCGCCAGATCATTGTACAAATCACACCCCGTTCTATCAGCAACATCGGATGGCGCACTTACATTATTTTTGCCGTGTTGAACGGTTTGTGGGTGCCAATCATCTACTTGTTCTTCCCTGAAACCAAGGGCCTGGAGCTGGAAGATGTCGACCGTCTTTTCTCTGGGGAGAGCCACAGCGATTTGATAGACGAAGAGGGAGATGAGGAGCACGTTCCCAAGGTAATTGTGGAGCGTCTGGAGAACTCCGGGCATAAATAAGCAACTTGGCTGTAGAAAGCATGGCTTTACGCTTGCTCTACGACATATCTCCTAGCAAGTCGAGATGTGTGATCATTCTGATCCAAAGGGTACTTGTTGCTTGGATGCATGTCAATTCGGTTTCATATCTAAGTGAAACGAACAATCAGCATCTAAACAGAGCTTCCCTCCGAGCTTCCAGCTTTACGATGGAATGACACAATAACACTATGTTGGGAAATCTGCCATGCCGCGTTGACGTCACGAGTGAAACATGAATCGAGTGAAATAGAGACTAAGAACATGGGAGGATTACTACTCTAGTCATTCGCGCAGGAGATTGATCAAGGGCGTGGGTTTGCAGTACGAAAATAACTATTCAGAGATGAGGATTTAAGAGTAATATATCTTTATTGGTTTTAGTCTGACTTATATCTAGGAACCAGCCAATAAAAGCAGTCCAATCTCAAAGACTATATCACTATCACCAGATCCCTACGACTTGTCATGCTGGTAGTAGATCTAGCGGAAGCATCTAGCACTTGCCCTTCTGCACGAGGAGTTAGTATCTAGCCAAGCAAAACCGTGTATTTGATTGTGACTTACGCAAACCTTGAGGCACTCAAGCTGGTCAAGGGCAAGGACAGTCGAGTTGCAGGTGACATCGCACTAGATTTCAATGTCAACAAAGCTGATTATATGCGATTAGCTTTGGTGAGGCTCACAGCAGCATCGCAGACTGACTTTCCAATGCTACGCTCGGCGAGATCATCGGTATCATCCTCCTCATCAGCAACATCTTCCTCTTCCTCAGCACGGGCCTTGAGAGGGGGAAGATCGCAGGCAGCCGTGCAAAGCTTCTGGGCAACACCGAGAGTTGCGACAGTCTGGAAGACACTCTAGTTAGTCTCATGTTTGAATCTCAAGCTGTGTGTTGCTTACGCAGGTAGCCTTGCAGGCATCCTGGCAGACCTGGAGCGCAGTGCCAGTCAAGGTACCACAGCTACGCTTAGCAAGCATTTCCGCGCCAGGCGCAGCCGACACGGTGAAAGCAGCGCAGAAGAGAAGAGCGATAGTGGAGAACTGCATTTTGAAAGATTGTTTGGTGGGTTTTTTCTTGTTTAAAAAAAAGAGTGAAGTAAGTGATTAAAAGTGGTGAGTAGAGAATGTAAAGTGAAGTGAAGCTGATGAGTTGATGATGCCAGATGATGATTCTTTCACCGTGAAGCAGACGGCATATATATACTTTTTCCAGAGGCGCACAGCATGATGTTGGTGCACTGTGTTGGGGTTAGCTTGGAGGATGTTGCCCATGAGTATCGTACTACGTTCAGTTCGTCTAGCAAGAACCAAAACTCATGGAAGCACCGTAGATATGCCGTCGAAATTGATAACCACAGGGTATAATCATGCATTCAAGTCATGTAGCCACACTAGAGGCACAGTGTCGGTCTCTGCATCTTGAATGTCTTCTTGTAGACACGACTAATTACAACACCCAGATGTACATACCTAATGACTTTGCTCAGTATACAGAGTATTTTGCATCTTGTAGGCAGAAAATTCCAATTCCAATTCCATATTTCGATATAGTCAGCTAGAGACTAACCTTTTCGGGGTGTGTCCAATCCGTCCAAGCCTTGCAATGGCACCGTCCATGCACCAAGGCGACAAAATACGAAACTGCCGACATGACGCTAGTAGCGCTGTCAAACCTGTCAGGCCATACAGCACAGCGGAGTTCCAAAGCGTCTCCAGGTGTTTTCCGGTTGATAATCAGTTCCTTCTAGATGCACCCCCACTTTGCTTGCCCCACGCCAGCGCTGATCAAGGCCTTCCAGTGTGATTATCACCATGTTGCTAGATGCAATCTCCACAGGACCAAATTCTTCCAGCAGTTTACAATGTACATTAGAAAGCGCATGCCATTGACATGGAGTCATGCGAGTCTCAGTCCAGTATGCGTTATAAGCCGGCGGCAGTTCTGTGCTGCTTTTCCGATGAGTCTGTCATTTAGCCTTGCGTGCGTCACCGTCTATCATGGCCCTTGACCGAGTACAGAAACGAGTGCGCTATGCTAGAGCCAAAAGATGCCCACTTTGCATGATGCTAGAAGCAAACGCGGATACTGCAAACTACAAAGGCGGACATGTGGATGGCTTGAGTCGCACGCTGGAACAGGGCTGGTTTCAGCTCGACCACATGTATCCTCGTTGTATAGCTACGCACTTGATATCACACTTGCCGCACGTTCCACACTTGGAATAAATCCACCTGTGGGATTTCTTTGTACGAGCATAATGTTTGGGATGCACGCGACGTGGGTGTGCCATGGTGCTTACCTGTGATCCTAAACAACTAGCTACGAATGCGTGTCGCTTTGCGAGGTGCGGAGATGCGGAGATGCGGAGATGCGGAGATGCGGAGAAAGCTTCATCACATTCTCTATGATGTTGGCATGGCAGACCTACGCTCTTGGAACAAATGGCTCGTATACATGAAATTGCGGGCTCAGAGGTACCAACGGACTCCCTGAAAGATTGATATACCCGTCATAAATAAGCTATGTGTTAAGCCTCTTGGCGGGAATCTTATTTCGTTAATCAGTTAGCGCAATGAACAACACATGGGGTTGGCCGCCGCCTGAAACCTCGAGAGTCAGTCGGAGAAAGGTGGCTCATGAGGACAAGCCTCAGCATTCCGCCAAGCACCACGACACCCTGCTATAGCTTGGCGATACTTGTAAAGTTGCCGTGTAGCCGGTGCGACCAGTCGTGTTCGCTGCCGTACGGGCGGTTTAATTAAGTTGGGCTGTCTAAAGCGTTACATGGTACGAGAGGCTTGTTTCAGGGACTGCCTGATTTTTGAAACCTGAGGACCCCTTCAGGTAGCTGAACCCAGTCAGTAGAAACTAGCTTCTTTCAAGGCTACTTTGCAATAGTTCATAGCATCTCCGCCTATTGTCCAGGAGGCACATGACTTGGGGTTTGGCCGAAGAATCACTCCGGAGACCTCGCTTATGCGAAGCCAGTCATTCTAGCCACTCTAGCCACACCAAGTGTGCCGGGATTCACCTTGAAACGCGTCCAGCAAAGATGGTGTGACATGATTAAGCTTTCGGCGCCATTGTCTAAACACCAGACCCTTATCCTTGGAGAAAGCGTCGTGGCAAGCCATGTTACTAGCACTAGCTTGCTAGAAGTTATTTTGGAGTGATGCGCTATTTCCCAGTCCGTATAAAGATTCATCGCAGACTACACTCGCTCCCCGACTTTCGTCTCTTCACCCCCCCTTTTTTTTCCCCAGATTTCTCCTTGAAAATTGAGGTCGAGTCACTTTTTTTTTTACCTTTCTTGGTTGATATACACACTCCTGTCTTTCATCATGTCCGCACTCGCAGCAATCAGGTCTTTGCGCATTTCCCAGGGAATATTCACAGCGGCGAACATTGGCCTTGCTAGCTACCGTAAGTGAGCAAAGGTTGGATATGGGTTTGAGTAATCTTTGACTGATGGTGTATGAATAGTTGTCCATGAGGAAGCCAGCCTGTCCAACACTGTTACAGTCTCTCTTGTTGCAGCGTGCATCTCTGTCGTAGGCGCACTCTGTGCTCCTAGTGCCAGCAGCCTTGGCTCATCGAGGCGTAGGTGGACCATGTACCATCTTTTAGAGCTTGACTAAACATACGCAGCGTCGAAACTTTACTTCGCCTTTGCAGTAGACTGGGTTGTGAGCTTCTCCAACCTAATGGCGCTCATCTTCCTTGCCTTGTTTGTGACCAAGTCTTCTCACTGCCAGGAGAAGCTGTGCACAATAGCCAAGATTAACACTGTCACAACTGGATTCAACTTTGGCAACTGGATAGCCACGACCACATATCTGGGCATTCAAATATCAAAGCTGAAGGGCGACACTGCAAGCGTCCCAGCCATGGGCAAAATCCGCCTTTAGTACGCGAATTGCGAGCCCTGCTCCCTCTTCTATAGACTTATCATATGTTTAGCCAAGAGTCTGGTTCAGAAAAGATCAGGGATGCTGAAAATGGCGTCAATGTCTAAGACACTACGAGGTCACGAAGAAATGAGCGCAGCTGGTACAATCTCTATCATACAGCGTACCAATGCAACTGTACTTGGGTCATAGAATGCCTGAATTAGAAAAGATATTATGATATACATGAGTTACACCGTCTCTTCGCAATGCCCGCTCCACAATTTACCAAATATGTTCATGAACGTTGCAAAACATACTTTGTTTACATCTCCTTAATACTGTTGTAAACTTTACTATTAATTACGAGATAGTTCTTAGTTCGTATTAATGCTGTAAACGTACAATGATGCAGAGCCAGTTTTGGAGCAAGAATGATTGAGTAGATGGACCGTCTAAACACTGGCTAAGGAAAGGCTGGCTCAACCACCTTAACGCCAATTTACCTCTCGGAGAAGGCTAAACTAGTAACGAACCTAATACAACATTCTGCAGTTCTGTTCTTGTTGAGATAGTGTTTGCCATCGCTTTCCAGTCCCTGCTATATATTAATCTTGTGTTACGTCTTTACTTCGGTATGAAATCCTACCTCACAGATACAGCCCAGGCCCGGATTTGTTTTATCAAGGACAGAATTGCCTAGTAGCGATACTAAAACCGGGGTAGCCAGGTAAAATCCCATAGTTGTTAAAGTTTGAGTGTGGAAGAAATTATATGATTTGTAAAAGGGCGGTTGCAAATCTCATTCAGTGACCGATGTGTTCTCTAGAGATTAGGTTTTATGTAACTCAGCAACTATTTACGCGGAAAATCTACTCGGGCAGTTTATGATTAGCAGAGTAATCTGCAACTGTGCTAGATGCCAGAACACGGGTCAATCATGGAATCTTAGTGCACTATTATGTGCTCTGACCTAAACACAGTATACAAGTATCTCTGGTTCCTAATATAGCTTACTGACAATCGATATCATGAAATAATACTGCTCATACTCCCAAAATCGTCTATTGATATCTATAAAGTGCTACTGTTACGGTCAAACACAATGCTAGCGCTGTGGCTGAACTCCGGCCTTGAAAAAAACAGCTACCTTGCCGAAACACCGTACCCCTGTGAAACCGCTGGTACAAAGACTGGAAACCTCCAATACAGCGGCAAGAATACGTAAGATGGAGGCAATCTCACATAAGCTCAGAACTGGAGGTAACAATAATGTAGGGTTGCACCCCCGAACCGGAGGTATACCGCCAAAGCGGTGCTACATCTCTAGGGAAGAGGTATAAGTACCACTACGTACCTCTGTATGTAGCCGCCCATCAAATTCTGGTTTGTTTCTTAAGCACATGCCCACCGTGGCGAGCCTCTTACAGCTACAACCTGATGACTATTCGCACATTAGAGGTACGGATTCACATAAAATCACACTAAATGATATAGTATATATATCAACTTAATTCAGTTGGCGGTGTACCTTTTCTAAACCCTTCCATAAACCTCACATGTGATAGAAGCTTAGAGTTACATGTATATCAAAGAAAGTTACAACTCTTCTGAAGTTTGACTTACACTCTACATCTATCCCTTGGGATTCTTAACTATTTCATATATATAAGCTTGCAAAATACAACTGGCAGTACTAATAGCTGAGCGTTTGGGAATGCCGAGGCTCCGTTTGCTAAGAGCCGAGTAATGTATTTTTTCCTGTATTCGTTATCTCTAACCGTGAACCTGCCAGTGCCAGGCGACAGGAGCTCGTTCAACATTATCGATGTTTTTTTTTAGATGTGATAACGTGATAGATAAGCGAGTCGGTCAGACAAGCGAGTTGGTCACCTCACTAACTTTGCGCACTTCTATAAGCGTATAGCTCTACTATATTATATTAGTTTTAGTAGATATTAACGCAATAGATTAATTACTATCTAGACTATCTTTCTTGCATGTACGTGAGTTATGGCTAGTCTCTCTGCACCTACTACAGCGCGCTAGAGCCTGGCGGCTGACACCTAATCGCTCTCCTCCCTGACGCTCTTTATGAGCAATCTGCTAATTAGCCTTGCGCTAAGCGAGTAGATCCTCTCTAGCTCCCTTTATTAGCACTCCTTGCTTCTATATCTACTTCCTTTTACGCTGCCTACGCTTTATTGCTACTTTGTTAGCCCTTTTAAGGCTAGTAATCTAATCGCGCATTAGCTTAGCTAAGAGTATTATAACCTTAGCCCCCTTCTTAAGCTAGTTAATTGCTACAATAATTAATACTAGCAAAGAGCTCTTATGCTACTAAACCTAATCACGTATTAGCGTTAATTAAGCTTTAAACTCGCGTGCGTTACTTAGGGTACGAGCCTGCTAAAGAGCCTCTGCGACAGCAGCTACTAGAGTAATAGGCGTGCGCAGCTTTATGTCTAGCTTTAATAGAACAGCGTCTAGCTAAAGAGGAACAAGGCCTACGCCTTAAAAGGCTAAGCGGATATTAGCTAGCGTAAAGGATTAATTAAACGCTGTCTTAAACGCTGTAAGGGGCTGCGCTCTGGGGAGCAATCGCGAGGTATACAAGAGGTTGTATTCGATAAGGAGCTATCTACTCTGCTTACGTGGTGTTTATTTACTTATTAGAGAAAGGTTATGCTAGAGTATCTAAGCGCGTTGTCTGAGCGCTGCTCGGTCTAAACGTAGTTCAGATGGTGCGCGCGCAGCTTAGCCCGAGATTCCATCAAGGAGCTATCCAAAGGGCGTTTAGCCCGTTACAATACCCCCCTCCTTAGGGGATACCGCATCGCCTCTCCGAAACCCCTCTAGGAGGCGGCCCTCGCTGTCTCGTTTGGCCTCCGTGAATGCTTCCCAACGATCTACTGCCTCAGCGTCCTCTAGCAGCTTAGCTAGTTCGAGCGTCGTTTGGTGGAACCCTTTCCATTTCACCTCGTAGTATAGCTTACGCCCTCTCCCACAGCGGCGTACCTCTTCTGCCATAATGTCCTCTACCTCCTATTCATCTTCTCCGTCTACCTGTAGTGGCTGTGGCTAATAGTCGTCCTAAACCTAGTTTGGGAGGGGATTGTTGCTAGCGAGTTTTAACTAATTAACATAAAAAACAGGGTGTAGTCCTAAAGGCGTATCTAATTCAACTAAGTGGCTATTAATTACCTTCACCACTGTATACTTAGCGTTCTTCCAGTCGAGCTTCTTTAAGCTTCGCCCTGTGCCGTACTGCTGATCGAGCTTCAGCCATACCTTGTCGCCTACTCGGTAGCTCTGTGCCTCTCTCCGAGTCTTGTTCGCCTGTCTCTCCTGTTCTTGTTGAGCAACCGCCATGCCTGCCTAGGCTAGTTCTATGGCTTGTTGTAGCTTAACCACGATCTCTGCTGCTTTCTGTTCGTCTGAAAGCTGTTTGGCTGGTTTCTGTTGTTGTCTTTTGTTGCCAAGCTCTAGCTGCAGCGGCTCTACCTCATGTCTATGCTGTAAGAAGAAGGGTGACATTCTAGTCGACGTTGCATTCCTGCCATTAATCGCAATCTAGGCCATTAGGCAGAGCTGTGCCTAGTCGTCCTAAGCCTAGTTTGTAAACGATCAGATATGGGTTTCCTAGACGCTGTTCATCCTCTCTATTGCGCCGTCTGTCTGCGGGTGGTAGGCAGTTGATAGTCTCTGCTTGATCTTCAGAAGCTCGCATAGTTTAGCCCATAGTGTACTCACGAACTAGCTGCCTCTGTCGGAGGTAATAGCGTCTAGTAGCTAGTGATATGCAACCACGCGCTTGATAAACTTTTGGACGACGGTTTCCGTCTTCGTATCCGGGAGCGGTACGAAGATCGCACCCTTGCTGAGCCGGTCAGTGACCACCATCAGGCTAGTCATGCCTTCGCTCTCTGGTAGTCCTTCGACGAAATCTATGGAGATCTCCTTCCAGATCCGAGTGGGTATCGGCAGTGGTTTCAGAAGGCCTTGCGTGCCCTCTCTCCAGGACTTGCTCCGTCCGCAGGTGTCACAGTTTCTAACGTATCTTCGGATCGAATTAGTCATGCCTGGCCAAAAGTAGTCCCTTGCGAGAATCTTGTACGTTAGCTCGCGCCCTAGGTGACCAGTGACTAGTGAGTCGTGGGCACTGCTGATAATTGCCGTTCGCAACTTGTCGTTGTCTAGCACCCACTTGCGCCCTTAGTAAAACAGGACTCCACTGTCTACTAAGCAGTCTTTAATTAAGCACTTTAGGCCTAAGTTCACGGGGAAACGTTTCTCTTAGTCCTCTACTGCCTTCTTCGCTCCTTAGTAGACACAATTCTTCGCTATCGCTTCTTGCTAGAGCTTCTCTAACTTATTCTACTCTAGCACTTTTTCATTTAGTACTCTAGGAAGGAGCTAATCTGATTCTTCTCTAGATAGGGGGATAGCCTCCTCTTCCCGCTGCTGGCTTCGTGTCCTCGTTGCCATTACTAAGATAGCTTCTTCTAGTTCTTTTTCTGTTACCTCCTAATAGGAGTTCGTTGGCTTAAATATTTGTACGAAGCGCTTCTATAAGCGCTCGTCTTCTGCCCCTACAGGCAGGTCTTGTTCTCTTCTTGAGAGCGCGTTGGCTCTCACGTTCTGCTTACCTGGCTAATACAGCAGCTCTAGGTTATATCTACCAAGTAAAAGCGACTATCTTACCTAACGTTCGTTTAGCATATAGGGTTTTATGAAGTACTCTAAATTCTTGTGATCTATATTATTATTATTATTATTCCATTAGAGTCTATCTGCAGTCAGTGACTATGTAAGACTTTGGCCAGAGGCCGTTCTAGGTACAATTTGTTTAAAGTGAGAGTGTTCTCTGTATAGTACTGCTATTGTGCTGCGGTTTAGTCGCTTCTAGCTGCGCTTAAAGCGGACTCCAGTTGCTAAAGAGCAGTTTAGTAAACAGGAAGAGATGTTAGACAGCAGGGCTGTCTTCCAGCGAGCGTCTTTTA